ATGCTCAGGAGATTATTTTTTAATTTTGGCACATAATACACATCTGTGATGACTTGTGTAATTCCATTGACATGAAATTTGACATTGCCCCTACCAATTATGGCCATCTTTGTGTCATTTCCGAGCTTCACTGAATGACAAAATTGATCATCAATATTAGTGAACCATTCCTTTTTTCCACTTATGTGATTACTGCATCCAGAGTCGAGAAACCAAGCTTCCTTTCTCTTGTCATTATTGAAGTCAACATGTGCCATCAAGAGCATTTCTTCACTATCAACTAGTTCTGCATAATTGACACCTCGTTCCCATTCAGGACATTCATATTGAAAATTTCCTAATTTGTGACAATTGTAACATTCCACCAAAGCTTTGTTGAATGGTTGTCTACCTCTTCCTCTTCCTCTACCTCGAAAGCCTCATTTTCCTCTATCCCTTGCTCCACTTCTGTCTTCATGTGTCACCTTAAAAACCTGCTCTTCTACCAAAGGAGTTTGCATTCTTTGCTCATGAACAAGCAAACTACTTTGAAGCTCATCAATGCTCATGGTGGTGAGATTGTGAGATTCTTCGATAGAGCAGACTACATAATTGAATTTTGAAGTCATTGATGTCAAAATCTTCTCGATAATCACAATTGGCTCCATGTTTTCACCCTGAGCTTTCATCTTATTAGCAATGGTTAATGTCCGAGAAAAGTATTGATCTACAGTTTCTCCTCCCTTCATCTGCAGTATCTCATGGCTATTTGAAATCTGACTCCCAAACCGTACAAGATAGTTACCACCTATCATACGGCTTTCTAACTTCACTTCTTTTTCTGGTCGTTCCGCTCTGTCGATCGATGGTAGCGGGGGTAGAACTCGGAAGGACACAACCTCGGCCAGCCTTCCTATCTTGAGACTAGACTAATCGATTTCAACCCATACTTTCGCTTTCCTAACGGATCATGGAGAGGCACTCCAAGTAGAAAAGGGATTCATTTCAGGCTTCCCTCGGTTCTTTCCTTCCAAAAACGATTGAATTTCTCCTTTCTCCCGCTCGTAGATTAACGTTGTCAGTTGCGGATGACATTTCTCTTCTGTCTTCTTCTTTCTTTCAGAAGGGCGGTAGTCTTAGGCGAAGACTTTTTTAAAGAATCCCTTCCTTCGGCGAAGGGCTAGACACTTCTATAGTGGGTTCAATTCCTTTCCCTATTGGGGGAGAATCTTCAAACCTTTATTGCGGGACCTCTCTCCAAGAGATACGATTCGGTATCTAAATCGGCTGAAGGAGAGTGAAGAGGCGGCTACTCTCCCAGCCAAGCTCTGCTTGAATAAGCGAGCCCCTATCAGAGAAAGCCATTGCGCGCTAGCCCCTTGTATAGGTTGGGCCTTCCTGTCCCTGCGCCCCGCCTTTCTCCGATTTGATAAAGGGTATGGGGCACGAACGGTTCTCAGCGAAGTGCTTGCAATTGAGCTCGTTTCACCTTTGTAGATCCTTGATACTTCTGCTTCATTGACTCCCAAATGCTCTTGGATGTCTCCTTATTGAGGATGGTTTCAATAATGGTTCTGTCAATAGCTTGAAACAAATAATTCTTCACTTTTAAATCCTTGAGTTTTGCCTCTTCAATGGCTTTCCGTTCTACTGCTGTATATTGAACTCCATCTGTAATTGTGGGAATGCCAGTTTCAGTCAAGCTCCAATATTCCTTCGATCTCAGAAAGTTCTCCATCAACATTGACTAATGGTCATAAAAACCATCAAATCGAGGTATGGCAGGTTGAATAAAGTTGCTCTCTGTTGCCATAGCAAAAACAAAAAAACTCTTTCAGAATATTCTCTTGACACTCGCACTTGTGTTTCACACTTTTTATCTCAATCTCACTCGTGTATCACTCTTCTTTAATCTTAATCTCACTAAGGAAGCTGCAATTCCTTAGGCTCTGATACCAAATATGTTGGGTGAAAGAAACTTAGCACTCAACTCTGCAAGAATTGTAGAATAATTCTTATTTACTCAGAAGCAAATCATTTGGCTTATATAGCCTTACAAAAGAAAACTGAAAAACAAATCTTCCACTTTTAGCTCTAACAGATCGTGGATCATGGAGAAGAAACAATCAAACTAATATCTACTTTCCTAATAAATAGGATTTATTAAAACAAACTCTAATGACTCAACAAGGTTTTATCTACTCAACCAATTAAGAAAGAGAGATGTTATATAATCCGCCAATTCACTATTCAACCCCCATTTTATATTATATTCACATTAATTCTCAAATTACCCTTTATGTAGATTTTTTTTTTTATTATTATTATTTACCGTAGTTTGGTAAGCTGAAGTAACTTTTCATTATTTCACTTTGCATATATATTATGAAGTTTAATCAAAGAGTCAATGTGATCCAGTAATCATGTTATACAGGTAATAGAAATTGGCAGAGTGTAGTCTCATTTTGAAATGGAGATGCTAAGGATAGATAAAGGTATAGCAAAAACTAATGTCTACCGCAAATGCCAAATAAAACAATTCCTAATCCCAAGGGATTGGTATGACGGTTAAGGAGGTTTGTTTCCTTCCTTGAGTTTTTGGGTTCAAACTTTGGAATCACCTATCACAATGTTACTTGGTCTTTTGGGCTTATAGAGTGTTTAATGGACCCTGATGATTAGTTGAGGTGCACATAAACTGACTTGGACACCTCGATTACCAAAAAAAAAAAGTAAAACAATTCCTTTATTGCTTATTAGTTTTCAGTATCATACATGCACCAAAGTTGCTTGACCAATCTTTTGAATGCTCTAAATTGGGTTTTGAGTTGTGGAGATGTTATTGAGTTCTAATATAAAAATTATGTAAAACGAGCATATCTACAGATTGAGTTCTAATATAAAACACTGTACTACATATGGAAATAAGGGTATTATAGTCTAATAACGTGAAAAATTAGAAAGAGGAGGTTTGATAGATAATTGGTGGGGGTTATTTAGCATCAATCTTAAAAAAAGATCACCGCAATTTATTAAAAAAAACCTTTAAGTAATTTTCCTTGATAGCAACTTGACTGTGATGAGTTGGTCATATTATGGTATTGGCCGCAGCCTAACCACGATTGTTTGGTCAGATCATTGAACCGTGAATGGACTTGATTGTTAAATATGTTTAAATATATGAGTTTGATTGATCTGTTTATTTTTTCTTTTTTATTGTTTGATTATAAATGTTGGGTTATTAGAAAATATTTGGTAATCCTACCCTAAAGTGCCACTTGAAACTGATCTAAGGAGCCACTTGGCACCAACCACCAAAACCATGGTCATATATAAAGAAAATGGTTTGTCTTGCAAGGTAGGTGAAATGAAAACAAGTAATGTTTAGGTTTCCAAACTTTGAGAAAGCCCATCTTCTTCCTCTTCACTTAAACATTATTTAGAATTTCAATGAACACCTCCATTTTTGGAATTACTAATTTTAGACATCATTGATTCTTCTTTTTACGCTATTCGTATGAGTTTCTCCTTGAGTATCATGCTGACTTGAGCATTAGAAAACCCACTCCGGCAAAACCCGACTTATGCTACTAACCTCTTGTTCTCATGTTTCAGCCATTATAGCCACTATTGGAGCTTTCTTGAAATTGTAGCACATGGAAAATTTATTCAAGAAATTTGGAGAATAAAGAGAAGAAGGAGAGGGTCTGCTGCATCAGACTCAAAACTCTAAGTTCCTTACTTCACCTCTACTGCTGGTGTTGAAGGAGCGATTGTTGGACATCAACAAATATTATATCAATAATACTATACTTACAAAGATTTTCATATAAAGCGAGGTGGCAAAAAATGAATGGAATTGTGAAATAAAAAGTCAAACTCATTAAATTCACTCTTCCATTCATTTTTTGCCACATCACTTTGTATAGAGATCTTTGTAAAAAATTTTGTAAGTGTAGTATTACTCATATTATATACACAAAAATAAGAGTAAACGACTTTTCCCCACCCAAGGTTTGCCTTAATGCCACTTTTCCAACCAAAAAGTTTAAAAATATCATTTTCACACCTGAAATTTATACTCCGTTAATACCTAAAATACACATCAGTTTCTCAGCCGGCGTTTGGCGAGTTACCAGGAGACAAGGTAAGAGGGGTATTGTAAAGTGGAGGTCGGTAGATTGAATGGTGATGATCGATTGAATACTTGCCACTGGAATCTATTGGAAATCAGCTAAGAATAAGAAACTCTAGTTTTACGATGGCTGACAATCGACGAAAAATCAGGTGCCAGATGAGAGGGGTTTTGTAGAGAAGAGACCAGAGGTTCAAATGATGGTGACGGAGATAATTTTCACCGTCGGAATCAGCTTTAAGTATTAATGGAATATAAACTTGGGGGGGAAAGTTGTATTTTGAAACTTTTTGGTTGGAAAAGGGTTATTAAGGCAAACCTTGGGTGGGAAAGAGTCGTTTACTCACAAAAATGATTATCCTTGGTTTAAATTAAGTCACAATACAAATGGTATGGATAAATATTTCAAACTTTCATTTAATTCTATTTTGTGAATATCAGCGTTTATTGTTATCTCATGTCATATTTAAAAATTTTACAAAATTTGGAAAGATTAATCAGACATATTTTAAGTATATTTATTTGAAAATTTAAAATCTAATTTATTAGATATAATTGAAAAATAATTTTCAAGGTTTTATCTTTTTTAATTTGTTAAAATAAAAGATAACCTCCGTCATGTGAAGAAAAATAATCAATCTTTTATTTTCTATTATAATTTTATTAAATTTAACATGTTAAAGTTTGCTTTTACCCAAGTAATTATAAATGGATTTTTTTATAAAAAAATAAAAAAATAAACAAGGAGCGACCTGATGTAAGACATAATATTAGGTGAAACTGTGAAAGTGAAAAACGTGGGACCAAACAAAGCATGAAACCGTTAGATTATGATCATAAAAAATTTTGAATTAGGGTTTGTCTTGTCAGTCGTCACTTCCCACTACAACTATATAAGCCATCCATCTCTAACTCAGCCGATGCGGTGCCGCCCGTGCTGCCCACATCCCTATTCTCTTCTCCTCCTCTACAAACTTTCCTCAAAAAGAAAAACAAAGATTATTTATTCATTTATTCAGTTATTTTTTTGGTTCCTTTAATTGTTGGAAACAATGGCTCAGGTTCAGGTCCAACCACAAGCTCCAGTGACTGCTGCTGCAAATGGAGTTGCAGGCCACGGTGTTGGAGTGCAACAGTTTGTGTCAACAGCTCTTTACATTGGAGATCTTGACCCCAATGTCAACGATTCGCAACTTTATGATTTCTTTAATCAGGTGGGTCAAGTCATGTCTGTTCGGGTCTGTAGAGACTTGAGCACCCGCCGCTCTCTCGGTTACGGCTACGTTAATTATAGTAACCCCCATGATGGTTAGTTTAGTCCCTTTAAACGCTTTGTTTTTTATGGAATTGAGTTTAAATTGTAATGCATATGCACTGTTTGTTTTAATGCATAATGTTTGTCTGTGGTCTTGCTTTTGTAAACAAATGTATTGAATATGAATTAATGACATAAAATGAAATTTAATTAGCCAATGAATAAAGAATACAGCTAAGACAAATCTAACTCATTGGCTAAATATGTTCAACATTTACAGGAGCATGAGTTTTATCAATAGCAATATTGCAGTTCATTGTACAGAAGCTTGTAATCGATTTTTGTTATGGTGAGACTTATCGGATTGGTTTGGTTTTAGTTTTATATCGCAAGATACTTGAACAGTTTTAACATTTTATGCTATCATTTACATCATCTAGAAGTGAAAACAACTATTAAAATTGAATTAGATGGAGATTGCATATGATTTACTGGAGGTGAAAGCAATCGAGTTATTGTTTTCTTGATTACTTGATAAGTCTTAAAATATAACAAGTGCCTACTAAATGAACATCTAGGATTGTTATGCATACTAAATGCCTACAACTGCTGTACAATATTGCAAAAAACTTATAAATGAACAACTAGGATTGTTATGATAAGAATGCGTATGCAAACTTTGGGAATGGTAAAAAATGAAATTGCTGTGATTGATGCCGACTCTCCTTGTGTTTTTTTGGTTGCAGCAAACAGCTGAATGTATTTTGAAAATATATTGTAACTCCTGTTCTATTGTTGCTATTAGTCTTCGGAAGTTTTGCTGGAAATAATTTTGTTTATTTTTTTTATCGATGACAGCGGCAAGGGCTTTGGATGTTTTGAATTTTACTCCTCTGAATGGCAAGCCAATTAGGATAATGTACTCTTATCGTGACCCTACTATTCGTAAAAGTGGGTCTGGAAATATATTTATCAAGGTATTTTGCACGAGTATCATTATGTAAACTGTTAAGTTGGCAGTTTATATGCCTATTTTCTTCATTATACCACTTTTACTAATTTTGTTGTTTGGTTTTTGGCTTCTTTGTCATGGAAGAATTTGGACAAGTCAATCGACAATAAAGCTCTACATGATACCTTTTCGACATTTGGGAATATTTTATCTTGCAAGGTGGCTACTGACCTTTCTGGTCAATCAAAAGGGTATGGTTTTGTACAATTTGATAACGAGGAATCCGCTAAAAATGCAATTGACAAGCTGAATGGCATGCTACTGAATGACAAGCAAGTATTTGTTGGGCCCTTCCTGCGTAAGCAGGAAAGAGATTCTTCTACGGAGAAGATAAAATTTAACAATGTTTATGTTAAGAATCTTTCAGAATCAACAACTGAGGACGATCTAAAGAAATTTTTTGGTGAATATGGAACTATTACTAGCTCTGTAGTTATGAGAGATGCAGATGGAAAATCCAAATGTTTTGGATTTGTCAATTTTGAAGATCCAGATGATGCAGCTCAAGCTGTTGAGGCTCTTAATGGAAAGAAGTTTGATGATAAGGAGTGGTATGTAGGGAAAGCACAGAAGAAGCATGAAAGAGAAGTTGAATTGAAAGGGCGGTTTGAGCAGAGCTTGAAGGAGGCTGTGGATAAATTTGAAGGACTTAATTTATATGTTAAAAATCTAGATGATAGCATCACTGATGATAAACTAAAGGAATTATTCACAGAATTTGGCACAATTACGTCGTGCAAGGTATTTTGGAGCTTACTGATTTACATAATGCGGTAAGTTGTGAACTTATATCTAATCTCTCTCTCTCGCTATTTGCCTTAACAGGTTATGCGTGATCCTAATGGTTTAAGTAGAGGATCAGGATTTGTTGCCTTTTCAACTGCTGAGGAAGCATCTCTAGCTGTAAGTTGAGATTTTTTAATTTTTTTCTTTATTTATTTTTTCATTGATTGTTTTACATCTTTCCTTAACTTTCCCTCCAACTTTTTCTTGTCTCTTTTTTTCCCCTATAGCTCATGGAGATGAATGGTAAAATGGTAGTTAGCAAACCACTTTATGTTGCTCTTGCACAGCGAAAAGAAGAAAGAAGAGCAAGGTTGCAGGTATATCAACTGATAAATTTATTGCCCTATTTCCCATTGATTCCTATAGGTGAAAATATTCAAGGAAACTATGGAATCTTTGAATTAAACTTTTGTGACTAAATTAAAAGGTGGTTGTTCCCTGTCCTACTGCAGAAGTATATTACTATATCTGTTGTTCTTGTTTCTTTTGAAAAAGCTATTTCATGGAGGCTTACAGATTTTAAGTGCAAATCAACTCATGATACATATTTATTTTATTGATAGAAGTGTAGCATACGGTACTAAGAGTTTGCATGGGCCTTTTGCACAGGCACAGTTCTCACAAATGCGTCCTGCTGCTATTGGTCCTGCAGTTGCCCCTCGTATGCCCATGTATCCACCTGGTGCTCCAGGTCTTGGACAGCAACTATTTTATGGTCAAGGGCCTCCTATCATTCCTCCCCAAGTAATTGGTTCTCTGCTATTAATTGATTATCTCATCGTTCTAGTCTATTTCAGTTATTTTGCACACTGGATGGCTCTGTGTCCACTGGATATTATTTTGCTTTGCATGACTGAAGTTAGCTCAGTTATAGTTTTACTCCATTTTAAGTTTTCATAATATAATTATTGTTATTGAATCTTTGTTTACGCTATCCCCTTATTGGGGAGGATGTAAAAGTTACGAACCAAAGGAAATTAACACGAGGGAATGTAATAGCAATATGAATACCGGCTCCTTGGAGGCTTTGAATTCATTATTGTGACTTGACTTTTGGATGTCTCATCTCCTAGGTTCCATTTCTATTTATAGTTAAGCTTGTTTTGTCTATTTAGAAATTTCAAGCAACCAATTCTCATGCCTAGTTGTCAATTGTAGTGGTAATCTATCTATGATGGCATTGATATTATGCTTTCCTCTTTCGAATTTCAGAACTGGTGATGCAATTTAAATTTATTGCTGGTGGTCTCGGGAAGCTTTATCTTTTATATCATTCCTGGAATACGATAAACCATTTTCTAGTTATACTGACGTTGATAGTTTATATTCGGATGCTAACAGCTGGTCTCTTATTTTCCTTTCTGTGATTTATGTCAGCCTGGATTTGGATATCAGCAGCAACTTGTCCCTGGAATGAGGCCAAACTTTTTTGTGCCAATGGTCCAGCCAGGTCAGCAGAATCAGCGGCCTGGAGGCAGACGATCTGGAGCTGGGCCCCTGCCACAAGCACAGCAACCTATTCCACTAATGCAGCCACAGGTATCAGTAATCTGTCATCTAAATTTTCTTTTGTGTGATACTTTAGGCCCAGTTTTACATCAAGTTATCTGTTTTATATGTGCTATTCCTCACAGATGAAATTACTTATTTNCTAATTGAAGAACTCTTCATGGAGCAACCTCCCGATTTCATTGATTCACAATGACCATCCCATGTATGTCGTCTCATTAAGGCTATCTATGGTCTTAAGCAGACACCATGTGCGTGGTACCATCGTCTATACTCCTTTTTGGTTGATAATGGATTTACTAATTGCTGATCTGACTCTTCTCTCTTCATCCACCGCACCTCCACTTATGTTGTGATTCTTTTTGTCTATGTGGATGATCTGGTTGTTACTGGTTTGGACCCATTTGTTGTTGCTAACTGTGTCTCTACTTTATGCTCTGCATTTGCCTGCTGAGACTTCGGGTCCCTTGGTTTCTTTCTTGGCATGGAAGTTGTCCGGGACAATATTGTCCTGTACTTGTCTCAATGACATTATGTGGTGGACTTACTTCAACGCTTCCAACTTGAATCATGTGCTCCATGTGCCACACCCTTTGGATCTTACAAAGCGTCACAGTCCTTTGATGATGATCTTTTTTCAAATACTACTCTTTGTCGCAGTATGGTTGATGGTCTTCAATATCTCACTCTCACTAGGCCTGGCATTGCTTTTGCTGTGAATCAAGTTGCTCAACGACTGTCTGCTCTTACTCAATGCGATATACATGTTGCTAAGTGTATTTTTTAGTATCTTAAGGGCACTTTATTTCGTGGTCTCACTTTTCATCGAGACATTGGCCTTCATCTTCTTGCCTATTCTAATGCTGATTGGGCTATTGATGTAGTTACTTGCCACTCTATCTCTGGTGGTTGTGTTTTTCTTGGTCACAATCTGATATCTTAGACTACTAAGAAGCAATCCACTGTGTCTCGCTCTAGTGCTGAATTTGAGTATCGTGCTCTTGCACATGTTACTGTTGATGTTCGGTGGTTTTGTTATTTTCTGCGTGAGTTGGGCATTCCTTTGTATTCTTCTCCCTTGCTTCTCAATGACAATTAATCTACACCACATATGGTTGCCAATTCTATCTTTCATGCTCGTACTCGACATATCGATATTGATATGCACTTCATTCGTAAGTTGGTAGCCTGCGGGGCTATTCGTCTTTGACATGTTCTTACCGCTCAACTTGTGTCATGAGCAATTTTAGTCGCCCTGTCTCTAATTGCAGCTCCTAGATCTACCGCTTCAATTGCAGTGGAGTATTAAGGAATAAAATCATTCATATTTTCTTTCTTTATTTTCATGATTATTATGTATATTGTGTTTCCTAGTATATATGTTTTTTATCATTATTATGATGATTGTATTTCTTTGTACAAATTATCTTGAGTCTTTATATTGCACAATTTTCTCAATATTGAATATACAAGTGTGTTATGCCTGGGAAATCAAGGGCTGACGTAGGAAATCACGTGATGGAGTGTGACCTGCTCCTGTCAGAATGGTACGCGAGCGCCAGACCTACCAGACGCTGTGGAGACCCCACGTGTCCATTCCCTGCTCCTAATCGCGTGAAATCGGTTTGGAAGGTGGGCAATGTGACATAAAGCTGGATTTCGTCCTGACATTCACACCAACCCACAGATTTAATGATGATTACTTGAACTCATCTCACTATAAAAAGGAGACGACCCCTTCATTGAAGGGATTTGGCCATTTTACACTCTGAATTAGTTATCCCTCTCTCTCTTGTATCTTTGCATTTACTTTTCGCTAATCATTTGTAAGTCAGCCCGCTGTTGCGACCTGACCCACCATATTAATACAACTATCAGTGGACGTAAGACTTGCTACCTTAGCATCCGAACCACTTTAAAAATCTCTCACTACTACATTTACTGCGCACCTTATCCATACTCACGTGTGTCTCTTGGCCAACCAACAGTACGCACGTGTTGATTAGTTGGTGTCAAAATCACTCATCAACAAAGTGATTATTCAGTTCTATACTATAAGGTCCTGAGATTTTTAGTCAGTGCTAATAAGTAAGCTTTCCAACTTATCCAATCTTCGGAAATCAATATCTTATACTTGAAAATGTAAAAATAAGGCAATACATTTAAAAGGCTATCTAACCTTTAATTAAGAAGCAAAGCTGAAGCCAGTGCTGCATCCACATTAGTGATTGGGTAGTGTCAATTTGCCACGACTTAGAAAAGAATTGCTCAATACTATATTCGATATGCCCCAAAAGATTGGAATCATGCCACTCTTTGGGTACATTGTAGCTCCCCAAGTTCAAATGAACAATGTAGTTAGGGGCCAATGTTGCATTTGGGATCTATCAATGATGAAAATGTACAAGCTTTAAGCTGCAATTCAGTTGAATGACAATAACAATAACAGATTGTGGAAAGAAATCAAAAGCTAAAATGGAGGTTAGTTATACTAGCCTATCCCATATGCCAGTTTGAACAAACTATTTCGGTATAGTAACATCTCCAATTGACATTGAATTATTTACATTGCCAACAATAATGTCAAAATGGACAACTCCCGATATGAAAAAAGTCTATCATTTGTTGTGTGGTTTCAACAACATTCACCTGATTCAGCCAACAAAATTTCTTATAAATAAGCTTGGGAATCAATAATGGTGAAGAAACCTATTCTAGAACATGCGCTTTGGAAGAAGATCGACAAACTCCTAGTAAGCTAGTTACTTGCTTCTATCGTTGAATAAATGTTTACACTCTAAATGTCAATATTTGGCTGATATTTGGCTCACTTTAAGAAAAGAATTTCTTACTGAATTTAAGGCAAAGACCTTGCATGTTAGAAATCAGTTACATACCAATAAAAAGCACAATCTTAATATTCAAGATTATGTTGTCAAAATGAAAGGATTTGCTGAGAATTTGTCTTGCAAGTGGTATTGTGGTTTCTAGTGAGGAGCTTTTGAATTACATTCTAGATGGTCTTGTTTCTGAATATGATGATGCTATTGTGAATATAACATCTGGATTAGAGTCCAAATTAGATGTTATATCTGTGCAAGAAGCACAATTTATACTGCAGAAGTATAAACTTCTTTTGGAAAGAGCAAACTCAATAATGAATTCAATTGTAAATGCTGAATTCCATGAAAGTTCTCCAAATATTGCTCAACCTTTATTAGATATTGCAAGCAGGAAGCAACTTTCTGGTCAACTTTAGTATAATAATGCTACTCTGCAAACTCCTGCACTACAACCTCACAACTTTACTTGTCAACATTTTGGTACTCAGTCTCATGCTATTGGTCAAAATCAATTCATGAATTTAGTTTCTCAAAATCAATTTTATCCTCAATATTTCTCTTGTAGCAAATTAAGAGGTAGATGAATAGGCAAAGGCAAGTTTATATTCCAAGTTTGTGGTAAAACAGGTCATTTAGCTTTGAATTGCTATCACAAGTTTGATGTGAATTATAGAGGAAATCAACCTTTGGTCAATAGTAACTTTGTGGTACCAGGATTTTCTAGACCAAACGAGTTTTTTCAAGGATCACAATACTATTCTACTACTCCTTAGCATTTTTATCATGGTCCTTCTAATTTTGGCCCTCAAGTGACTTCACAAGTTGGCTTTACTACTCAGTATTATTCTCATGGCTCTACCAATTCTGGTCCACAATTGTCTTCACAAGTTGGATTCTCTTCTTAGATTAGTTCACCACCTGGTTTTTCTCCTAATAATGGATCACAATTAGCTTCTCCAACCTCTTCTAGCATGCACAATCAAGTATTCATAGCTCAAGAACAACCACAAAGTCATTCTAACTCAACTATTAGTAACATTGCTTCCTTTTCAACTGTTCATGATACAACTTGGTATATGGACTTTTGAGCCACAAATCATGTCACTTCAAACTCATCTCAGCTGATAATGAACTCCAACTATACAGGTGATGAACAACTTTAGGTTGGAAAAGGTGAGTTGTTTCCTATCTCTTATACTGGTTTTACTTTTTTGCCTTGCACAAATCACTCTTGGTCACTGTATCTTAAAAATGTACTATGTGTCCCTCATATCACAAAGAATTTATTAAGCATTTCTATGTTCACTAGAGATAATAATGTCATTGTTGAATTTTTTGTTGATCATTGTGTGGTAAATGACTAGTATTCCAAAACAATTGTTCTTCAAAGAGAGCTTAAAGCTAGCTTGTATCAACTTCAAGTTCCATCAACTTCACCTCATTCAACCACAAATGCATTTGTCCACTCTTTTAGTCAGACTAGATTTTGCGAGGAAAAATCTACGTGGGGATTTTCCCTCGCCTCATTCCCTATCCCACTAACACCTAAATTCTGAAACATGTATACTTGAGTTATGTGGGGCCTGTTGGGTTGGCCTTGGATGGGCAATTGGTTGCTGATGTGGTGGGTGGGTGGGGACTTTCTTTGAATAAGTGGTTGGCTAGCTGGGTTTGGGGGAATGCAATTACAGAGGGTTACAGATGGTAACCGGTGGTATAGGGAGACTTCAATAAGCAGTCTAAGAAACCAACACAACTCCAAAAACAATCAACACAACTTCAAACAAACAACAACCAAGCTACAACACAAACCCACTCTTCAACCAAGGGCAGTCGCACAACAATAGTTGTCGTGCGATTGTGAGGGATGGGTGGCGACGATTAAGGTTGGGGGAAGGTTGCGGGGTGAAGTCAAAGTTGGGATGTAATGGTGAAAGAAAGCGGTGTTGGTGGAAACAGTCACGCGCGATGCAGTAGGTGGTTTGCGCAAGCGCACGCTCGGTTGTTGTTCTTCCTGCAATTGTGGGCTATGAATGGGGCTGGGGAATGGTGAGGGGGCTTCAATGGTGGTCGGGGTGGCTGATGGCAAAGTGCGCTGGCTTGTTGGAGGTTGTGTGGTGCGAAGAAAATGAGATCTAGATGTGGAGAGGATACTTGGGCGGCCGAAAATGTAATTAGGGTTAGGTGCGTGGAAAAAGAGGGTATACATACGGAGGACAATTATGTAATTATTTAAATATATCTTTGTTGGACCTGGGTTGGGATGGGGAGAAGTCTATCCCTGTC